AGCCAAGCTTTTCACACCCCTTTCTGCGCAGACTAAGTGATGACTTTGTTTCGTTTTACTCATTTGTCAGGTGGGAAAGAGAAGCCACATTACTTCAAGTTTTGGTATAATTGTAATCACTTCAAAGACAGCAGCAGGCTGAATGCCCTTCAGTTCCCATCTGTAGATGTGCGTGTACACATGTTTTGGTGTTCCGGTGGTTCTTTTCCTCAACTTGCTGCTGACATGTAGAAACACTAAAAGGTGTTTTTTCTTAACTAACAGCCCATTGTTCCTGCTGGTTATGAACCCTTGGCATAAAGCGAGTCCAAAACTTGTCAAGTTCATGCCTTCAAACCCAACAGATGCTGACACCATTGCCACCAGCAGTGACTTCGCTGGCAGCCTTGTGCTTCACATGTCCCGAAACACAACACTGAGAGTCACCTGATGAGAGATAAAGAAGCCGAGATGGTTATTCTCTGGGTTAAAGGGGAAATATTAAATGCGATGCACTATATATTAAAAGCAGCGTTGCCTGCGAGCTATGGCTGCGGCGGCAGTCAGCGGCTCAAGAGCAGAGCAGGAACTTGCCCAACGAGACTTTCTAAGGAAACTGGGAGATTTTCCCGGTGACTTCGCTCCCTTCTAGCTACAAATAGGACTGGGCGGGGATTCGGCACAACCAGTCTGATCACTACTAGCCAAACACACACATAGGTGTAGTCTGTGCCCCGAGGAAATTATAACTCAAGACAAGCTAAAGCAGGCACTCCTGCGCTGGCTGGTGCCAGTGGGGGTGGTGTGTAAAGGTGATAATTGAAAGTTGTTGGGTTTTGGGGTTTGTTTGTGTGTTTTTTTTCCCCCCCCCTTGCTGAGTCAACAGGAGGTTGTTTTCTACCTCCTGCTTCCTTTGGTGAAGGCGGCAACTTCTGTTCAACCTTGATGAAGCTCAGTGAGACAAGCTGTTGGCCATGGGGTTTGTGCCAGGATCATCATCCAGGGAACAAGGGTAGGAAAGGCTGGAGGAGACGGGCAGTGGCTTGTGTCTGCATGCAGGTTTATGGACCATGCTTACAGAAGCCAGCAGGTGAGTGATTCACTTCATTCATAAAATCTGAACCTCTGATCTGGTCTCTAGAGGGAAGGATAAACACCAGGTAGTAATCGCCTGCCTTTTGGGAGGAGCATGGGGGATGAAAGCAGAGGGTGTGTCAAGAGAAAGGGGAGATGGAGGGAGAAACACAGCCAGTGTAGGGTGCTGGCTTCAGGGATGGCCCTGCTGCACCCCAACCATGGACGTGGCTTTGACATCAGCCCTGCGGTGCTGCAGGCCCGAGATGTCCTCTGTCTCCATGGCCAGATGCTAGTTCGATCTTTAAAAACAGCTGAATGAAAATTTCAGACACCCAAAACAACGTAGGCTTGGAGCACAAGAGAAAAAAAAACAGGTCTCTGCTTGCAGGACCAATCTCCTCCTTCCCCCTCCCTTGATTGTGAACTTCATATCCAGAAATCATTGAGCAGAAGTACAGCAGCTTCAGCCTCTGAAGGCTGCCAGGCATTCTTGCTGAGTGAAGCTGTTTAGATACAAGGAAAAGGGTGAACCTGGGGCTTGCGTAAACCTTTCTTACTCAGGAACAAAAGACCTGCTCCCATAGCAGTCAGGTGCAGGAATGAAAACACGCTGAACCGGTCTTTCTGCAAAAAAAAAGACAGGTTTGACCAGAACGGCCCCTTGTGCAGAAAGGATCTGCCAGCCAGGCCCCAGCATCAAAGACACACACTGCACTGGGTGCTCCTCAGCCTCCGATTAGCATCCGCATGAGCAGAGCCCAGATTTTGTAGCACTAAAGGCCACAACCAGCATCCAGCCTGGGGCTCCAGCAACGTGCCTGGTTTGCATGAACACAGCTGAGTTTGTTCATCCGTCTGTCTCATTGGGATGGAGAGCTGCAGCGTGCAGAGCAGCATCCAAACTGCCAGCCCCGAAGTCTCCTGGCTGTCCAGCATCTCTGCTGATGTGCATTTGCATGAAGGACCAAACATCACAACATTGCAAAGTGCCAGCTCCAGCTGCGCACACAGATGCTGCTCACGGACCGCCCACAGAAACGGTTGCCTTGGGATCTTAGCGCTTCTATGGGTTTTGGCTTGTTTTTTTACCATTCCACTTTCACTTCCTGCCTTGCAGGAAGCAATGGTAAGAGATATGCCCCGTCATGGCTTGCGGTACCTACACCTCCACTCCTTTGGCCGGCCCACCAAGTGCTTTCACTTCTCTATGAGGTTTCACTAAAACACTCATTTAGTGTCGGTGCTGGTTCTTCCTGTAGCACCTAAATATTTACTTTATGTTCTGCTAACCCACAAAGGTCTCTGTGAACCGTGTCACCGCAGATTGCCTTCTCCCATCCCCACCTTCAGCAGTCAAGGCTCCCCTTTCATTATTCCCCAAACAGCTGGCAGGGGTGAGCCCTGAAAAAGCCGCATCCCCCCGGGCACAGGCTGCCGTGCAAAGCTGCCCTTCCCCTCCCATCCCGAGGGTGTGGATGGGACCGGACAGCACCAGGGGACGGGAAGCAGAGGAGGAAACGTCCATCGCTCTGCCAGAAATAGGACTTGGCACTGCTGACGCTCAGCCCCACGCTATAACCTCCAAGCCTTCCACAGATTTATCCATGGCCTTTTCTCCCGACCTGCACATCCTGAGCGAGGTCCCACGAATTGCTGGCCCCGCAGCCACCAGTTCTTATTGCCTCCCGTGCCATTTCCCCTCCAACACATCTCCAAGCCCTCCTCTTTCACCCAGACATCTGCATTCCTGTTTTCTCCCAAGTTGCTGGAGATTAGGATGCAAAGTAAACACTTTTCTCAGCCATGCACGTGAAGGGGTCCCCAGGGCCAAGCACAGGCAGATGTGGCCCCATTTCCTTCTTCCCTCTGAGTTGCTTAGACCCAGACAGCACATTCTGGGGATAAACCAAAGATTAAGAGTCTGTCCTCACGGTCATTGCCCCAAAGCTAAAGTCTTGCCTCTACAACCCACTCAACCCTCAAACACTTTCAAAATCACACGTGGCACCATGAAAACTCCCTTCGCATTTAGGACAGGTGCAGGTTCACAAAGTTTTTCCACACGTAATAAAATATTACTACTAATTAGGATAATAATAGCAAGTGCTAGCTGAGCTCTGCTTGCTTAATTTCCACCTGCTGGTTATTTGCAGTTTGATGTGGTATTCTCTTCCTGTCATGCATTCTCGCCGATTATTTCTGTGCCACGTTATCTCGCCGATGGGGTTCACCCAAGGAGTGGCCGAAACGCAGCTCTGACCCGTGCGTCACCGCCGAGATGTTCATTTTCTTCTGTAGGAGGAAGAAAAATACTAATAATAAATAAAAATCAAGCCTGCCTTGTAACTATGTGCTGTGCACATGTGTGTATCTGAGCATGTGTTGGTGTGGTTTTGGTTTTTTTTCTCCTTTTCCCCTTCCACCCACAGCTTCGCAAGCCAGCGAGCTGCAACTTCTTTTGTCCAGCCCCAAAGTGCCTGTTTTTCATGGAGAAGGTGTCAGTGTAGAGCATAGCTGTGAGCCTGCCTAGGCAGGGGCTGTCCAGGACACCCAGGCTGTGGCTCCTCAGACTGTTTTATTTCAATAATATTTCTTTAATGCTTATAATATTGCTAAACCGAAAGGATGCCCTCACTAAAAAGGGATTTGCTCAAAGGCTGGGCATAGCAAAGAGCAGTTCAATGCACACCCATGAATGTCCCCATTACACATTGCCCAGCCAGGACCTGGTGGGCATCCCATCAGAAGTGGCATTTGGCCCTCTTAATCCAGATGCCTACATGTACCATCAAACCCCAAAAGGTCACCCAAAATTATCCCCACTGGGCAAGGCCCCTATTTCTCTGGCAGGGGAAGGTCAACCCCAAGGCAGAACGCAACTGGCACCAGGATGTTTAGTTGTGTTATGAGCTTTTATTTAAAAAGCACATTTATACAGCAATAATTTCGCAGATACAAACTTCAGTTTTGTATTCTACAAAAGTCTTTGAATATTCTTCTCTTTACAAAATGGAACATTACAAAAATACAGAAAATTTAATGTTTTTTTTTTTTATACAAATGTCTCTAATTGCAGTTATTTTCATTAAAATATTACTACCACAGAACTACAATATTTTAGTCGACTATAAAAAAATTAATTCAATGCTTTTTTAAGCAGCAAAATGTAAATAACACAGGTCAGGACACAGTTTATAGTCATAGTGGATATATCTAAAATTGTTTCAGAAATAATATTTTACATAGTTAATTTTTAAGGTTTTATACATTATTTATATAATATTTATATATAAAAAAATCATAGCTTGCTATAGTTGAAATGATAGGACGGATTCTGTAAGAAGGATGTGCAAATGGCCATTCTCCATGCTTTGTGGGATCCCTTTGCAAACGTGCTCTGTGAAAGGGCTG